GTGCAGCCATGCTCTCTTGCACGAGAGGACACTTTCAGAATACGACCTGGTGGATAATTTCATGTGTGAGCAGAGGACAGCTACCCGGGGTATAGCTGAGCTTTGAAAGGAAAGCCTAGGATATATCCTGAGATTTCAGAAAGACGTCTTACAGCCGGCTACATCAAAAGAGGAAGTGTTCAGAGTATGGAAAACTAAGTAAAAAATAATGAGTCAAATCATTACCACAGAAAGAATTCTGACCCAAATATATACACAGAAGATGAGAGGACATAGGAACAGAGAATAATAGAAGGAGAGAGGGAGAGGTAAAGGGAGAGGAAGGGGGTGAGATTAGGTTGATTACAGAGAAAAAAAAAGTCCTTTTTTGGGCAGTGGCCATTAGCTCACTGTGAAGAACATAGAGTCTCATTTCATCAAAATCTAAGAACACAGTGTGATGTCCATCCTGGGAAACACAAGAGTAGTTTCCAGTAAACACTAGTCATTAATGCAGGACGGGGGCAGAACAATAAACCGAAAGGGGCTTGCTAAAATGACCAAAGTCAGAATGCAACTGAGAAAGCTGTGGTTTTAAAATCCCATGTGTGTGTGTGCTGCCGTGGGACAGTCATTCCTTGCTGTTCACTGTTGACACGCTGGTGGGCCCAGTGGACACTGGAGAATGAGGACACGGATAAAAGCAGCATGTTCCTGGTGGGGCTTTGTTAGAATCAAATTTATTTGTTCAATGGGATGCTTGGAATAAAAGGAGAGGAGAAGAGGAGAGGAAAATAACCATGGGAGGGGGTGGAAAAGAGAGAGGGAAAGAGAGGGTGGGGAGGGGATAAAGAAAGAGGGAGGAGGGAAGGAAAAGAAGGAGAGGAAAAGGGACAGTAGCAGAGACTGTAAAAGGGAGAGGAGAACAGGAAGGGAAGAGAGTAAGGGGGAGGGGAGGTAATGGAGAACCTTTAACAACTACATAAGAGATGCACAGTGACAGACACAGAGGCAAAACCAGGATAGAGCCCAGGCCTTCCCAGCAAGCAGGGGAGCAGTCCCTCCCACCTTAGAGTGTACCCTGATCACCTCCATTCCCCACAAAGTAAAGCTTGGAAAGAAACCCTGTTCCTCCCTTACAGGATCAGACATTTTCCTTCCTGAGTGAACACAGGGAGTTCGAATTTCAGAAGAAGGGAAGGGACCACATCTAAAGTCACTGGAGTCCTCAGATTGTCACAATTACAGTTAATCAATTTCATGGCCTCTCTGGCAGCTCAGGGTGCTGGAGAGGACCTTTAGGAAGGAGGTGAAAAAATGAAGCTGTTTTTTTTGTTTCCTTGTGCATCTTGTATATATATATATATATATATATATATATATATATATATATATATAT